TAGTAAGAGCTGAGCTTAACGTTATTGTTTATAGGACAGTGCTTTCTGGCAATTCTGCTAATCCCAGTACGACTAGTGGCGATTTCACTGTTGTATTAAAACTTCAAAGATTTCAATTTTTAGTACCATTCACAACCTTTTCTCTGGAATTTTCTTACCGTTACTTTTAAAGTTGCTGCTGCACTGAATACTCTCCAAATTAATGTCGATATGAGAATTTGCTGCGATAGACAGAAAATGACGTTAGTAGGAAAGAATCAAAAACTTGTAGACCTAGTATATCCTTTTTTAAAAACAATCAAAAATCAAAATATAATTCCTTACTATCTTATTTTTTATCGCTCTCTTTTCTTCTCTTCGTTTCTCTACAAATTGCATGTTAACAGTAGAAGCTATGGACGTCACAAATTCTATGCAATTATGCGAGATGCTTTACAGCTCAAAAACATAACTAAGCTGATTTCATCGCAGCGCCATACGGGTATTCATACAAATTTTTTTCTTCCTAAACTCATTTGCTCACTGTTAGTTAATGCAGCTCTAATGGTACGCATATGTTAGAAGTAATTTCCTGGTTATAGAAAAAAGATGGCTAGGATGAGATTCATAACGACATAAGAGCATTCTGATGTACTCACTCTGCTGCTAATCTTAATGTACTTAGGAATTACTGTAATGCTCTAGCATTTCTCATAACCTTCTCTTGTAATCCTTTCTTAGGCAAAACTTTATTCCAATACTATATAAAAGGTAACAGCTAAGATCACCAATACAATATTTTGTAGTAATTTTATATCCGTAAACAAAGAGAAGTAGAGTCGAAAACCTACTTCCTATCCGAAATTCTATTATTAGAACAAGCTTCGTTTATTCGTATTCCACTCGAAAAACAACTTTTGCTTTTCAAAGCGCAAAAGCAGTCTCGGAAGTTTCAAACTTCGTTTAAAAGCGCTGCTTGTTATCGATGGCTTCAGCAGTTTAAAGCTTTTAGATTTCCCAAACTTCAACATAGCTTAAAATAATAAGGGAAATTTTTTTGTGGTATTAAACCCTATTAATTGATATGACTCCAATATCCATCATTATAGAAAAAAGTAAACAGGTGCTCTAAAAATTAATGAAATAAAATTACTTTTTAAGTACCATAAAATTGGTAACTGTTGAAAATCATGCGAAAAAAGTACACAAGACACAGA